TCATATATACTTCATCGGGGCCTCCTGCCCCTAATGTTTTCATATTTGGTTTCTTGTTTCATTTATCTAACTCCGTTCTCGAGATTAAGGAAGAACAGATATACAGCGGACGACAGTGGAAATTTATATTCCTACAATGTTTTCAAATTGCTGCCCAATAACCTCCAAACAATGATCAGTTTTTATCTTCTCGTCAGCGGACGTTGCTGAAAAATTTCACTAGATATTTAAATGTTTTCTGTATAATTTTTTAACAATGTAAAGCTCTGTTAAATATTCAAAAACATTTTGAAGCTGAAGTTAATATTTTTTCTGCCAAATTTTTAAAATTTCCAGAAAAAATATTTTTAAAAATATATTAAAATTCTTAAAGTATTTATAAAAATAAATCTTCAATGCTCTGTAATTTTATGACAGGAAAAAAGTTACGAATTATATCATACCTAGGGTTTCTCAAATGGGATTCCGGGATCCCGGTTGTTTTTTTAACCCGGGAAAGCATACCATCTGTCATATACGAGGGCTGTTCAAAAAGTATCGGACCTTTGGTCGGCAAAAATACATTTATTGATTTTGAGGTACAACACCCTAATCCCCTTCAAAGTAGTCTCCTTGGTAGTGTATACACTTCTTCCAGCGTTCCTGCCATTGCTGGAAACACTGCTGGAACGCATCTTTTGGAATGGCCATCAGCCGGCCCGTCTCATTCCGCACGATGTCTTCTCTCGACTAAAATCGGGTTCCTTTTAGCGGCATTTTCAGCTTGGGAAATAGCCAAAGGTCACACGAAGCCATGTGGAGAGAGTACGGAGCGTAACGAACCACAGGAGTGTTGTGTTTGGCGACGAAAGTCCTAATCAGATGCGCAGAATGGGCGGATGCGTTATCACGATGGAGCTGCCAAGTTTTGATCGACCACAGATCCGATCGTTCGCGTCGCACAGCATCGGAAAGACGACGAAGGACCTCCTGGTAGTACTCCTTTGCGATGGTTTGGCCTTGTGGTGCGTACTCACGATACACCATCCCACGAGAGTCGAAAAAACTGTCAACATGACCTTGATATTGCTGCGGACCTGCCGCGCTGTTTTTGGCCTCGAGGATCGTCCCCGAAAGCCTGCTGAATCTTGCGAATGGTTTACACTTAGGTGTCGCCAAGGTTTTTGGCAAAATTTAATGTAATATCGCTGCTCACGTTGTTCAGTCATTTTCCAACTTAGTGGAATCCGACGAGAGCTCACACACGTTCTCACTCATAAGCCGACTGCCAGCGACTGACGCTTCCTGCAGGCGGGAAAAAATTCAGGGCTGTGCATGACTGTCCCCTTCACAACTCCACCGAAAGAGGCCTCCCGCGCATTATTTGTTTACGCGGAAAAAATAAAAGTCCGATACTTTTTGAACAGACCTCGTAACACCATCGAAAAAGGGGAAAACGACGAGCATCCCCTCATCTTTTCCTTCGCATGTTGTGAGATTTGTAACAATTAATTTATAAATCTTTTTATTCTAATTTGTTTCTCTAAATTATTTTAAGTCGATATTACAAAAAAATTTGAAATTGGAAAAATAGGCGAAATTCCTTTACACCTTTACTTGATAGATAAACAATCTCGGTGTCACCTTTACATACGCATCTTCTCTTCGAGATACAGAAACAACAATAAATAAAAAAAAACAACTGTTAGCTATCAGACAAGATGTCCTTTAGACATCTTGTCTGATAGCTAACAGTTGTTTTTTTACAACCAGACAGAAAAAAATATGAAATAAACATACAGTTTAAAATACAAAAACAAAAATTCTAACTGATTAATTAAAGCGAATACTTTATTAGCATAAGGATTAAAATAAAGTAATTAAAACTAAAATTATACAGATGACGTAGTATAAATAACAATTCACAAATACATATATGTACTATATATATTTAGATAAAATAACAAAAATTTTTTGGGGAAATGGTGGGCTTCTCAGTACTACACTCAAGCCCACCTTTGTGTTTCCTTCATTGTTGGAGAAAACATTCGTAAACTTAATTTCCTCCTCCTACTAGTAGATTTTGCAGTGTTTACTCTATATGCGCGATTGGAAATTACTTTAATATTAATATAATTGTAAAATAAATCGAATACATTATGAAGCAAAGTTTATTTTTTCCTAGTTTTGATTCAGACTACTTTCATAATAAACCGTAGCATGTAACCAATATAAGAAACGTAAAATACAGTGTCCTATAAGTCTGGAACCTTGAGAATTATGAAGGTATTTGTTCATTCTTTTTCAAGGAGTATAATAAAAACATTGGGATTGAAAAACTGACTAGAAAACTTTTCGAAATGCATTTATGACTTTTCTGAAGAGGGACTAAAGTTCCAAAATGCATTTCGATGTAAATAAAGGATATTACAAAAAATAGAAATTGTCTTCCATGTTAACAGTTGTGAGAAATCTGTAGAAAATTGGATAAAATAGCCAATCACCAAAATCATAAAGAATGCGCCGATTGTCTTATTTTGACTTGTCCGTTGACAAGTCTTTTAATTAATGAGAGCCTTACTAGCCAATAATTAAATTAATAGATATAACTAGAACAAAAGCAGTCAGTAATGTTTCACTATATTGAATGTTTCACTATATTAAAATGAATTTTAACAATATGACAGAAAATATGTTTGAGAAATGCCGTAAAATTAACTAAATGCCATAGAAAAAATAACCGATATTTTAAATTCCAATTTTTTATTGATTTAAATTATTCTTACAACGGAAGAAACAAATTTAGTTTTGGTATACAGTATTATTTAGTATACATCGTTATAACTTAACACAAAAGATCTAAAAATCTAACAAAGAAAGTGAAGATTTTAAATAAACTAGTTTTAGACAAATCTTTACTTTTAGCTTATTATACCTAAATCCATCACCTAAAACAGAGCATTTCAGTTGGTAAGTCACCTGACAAGAACTAAACAAGTGAATGAAAAGGCTCTCTTCTACTTCATTACCACAATAGCTACAAGCCTTATCTCTTGATATGTTTAGCCGGCAGCCCTTCAACAAAACCCAAAATTTATTAAGTTTAAGATGCATAACGAGGCTTTTAGTAAAAAAATTTATCTCACATTTTAAGTAGTTTGCTGTACATCAGTCCAGATGCATTTCGAACAAGATCACTCGCTTGGCCAAGACCAACGAAACATCCTGATTCCATAACTGGTTTGAATTAGATCATTTAAGTAAATTATCAACATTGAAGCTGAACGGATTAAAAACAGAAAGAAATAACCCAGACCATCAAAAAAAAAAATTCTTAACTAGAACAGGCAAACATTTCTTATCAGGTTTAACTACTGTCAACAGAACATTATAAGTATTTTGTCGCAAGTTGTGTATGGGTGCTTCCAATGTTTTTGACAAATCTTAATTTCTATGGGGGGGGAGTCTTCTCAATTCAAGACGAATTATTGAATTTGGAACTGAACGCTTTATTTTAAACAGACTCTTAAAATATTTCGTCTGTATTTTTTCAATTTTTGACAGGAACTTCAATCCCTATACCGGAAATAAATAGGTAATCTTATAACCAATACAGACATCAAAGAGTAAAAATACTATTCATGGAATTTAATCTCTTTTTTGTAGAATAAACAGATAGTCTGTCTTGTTCTGTATATCTTCCTTTATTGGATTATTTCCAAATCTAAGAGTAGTAGAAAAATCTCACAAAAAATTTCACCATCACTCTTTGAAGTAAGCAGCGGCACCAGCTGATATTTAATATTCCTTTTTTTAAATATTATTTCTATACAAAGTTATCTATACAAAGTTATGTTAACGAAATAGTGTTATTACGCGAGAATTCAACATAAGTTATAGTTTATTATTCATTCATTCTATATATTATATTCAATATTTCATTTTTTCACTCCTAACAGTCAAACAAAAAAATTCGATCTGCAAAGAATTTGAATAGACTGGCAGAACCTGAAAACTTTTGTTCTTGTCTATTTATTCTATGGAATTTACCATCGATGCATGCCTAAATATATTGTCTAATTAGTGACAATGTTAAATGCAATAACGCCTAATTTTTTATTTCATAAATCATATAATTTGATTAATTCAGGATTTCTCATACAAAAAGGTATTATGTATTATGCAATTAATTGATTGTCGTTGTCGTGATAATGTTTCATTCAAATGCTAAAAGTAATAGTATAGTTACTTTTATCGATGTAATATTGATTGATGTATAAATAATAATAAACAATATAACTTTTAGCTTACAGAAATGATAAATAAACTTTCATTTATTTTTTTAATTTAGGGAGGCTTTATACTTGCTGGCATGTGTATACTTCAAGCAATATTCTGTCCTTATCTACTCATATTAACAGCTGTTCTTTCGATATTATTCTATAGTTTGTGGACTATCTATACTCGAGTGATGAAAAGCATAAAACAAATGGAAGGAAAATGTAAGTATATAAGAGGTATTCTAGAATATCTTATTGTACTAAACTTGAAAGCAAGAAGAATCTTTCAACAGTAACCATTCATTACGAAAAGGAATTATACAGAAATACTCTCTTACGTAAGTGTATTGTATCAAAATTATTAAATACATATTGCACTTTTTATATATATGCCAATATCTTTTATTTTAACAAAATAGATTGCTAATCAAAAGTTGGCTAACACATGACAAAAAAGTTATACATTAAACACTTATCTCTAACAAATGTATTTAATACAGATTAGTGGCAACGAAATTCTGTAAGTAGTAAGAGTAAACAGTAAAAAATCTGTAACAGAGGACTGAAAGTGACAAAAGACTCGAAATGCATTTCCTATTCGGGTCACTTACTGGTGTGTTCCTTGTGTTGTTTTGTTTTTTTTCATGAAAATTTATAAATATCAGTAACAAATAGTAGTTATTATATTTAAGAAAGTCTTGCTTAAATAAGTGATTTATATAACAAAACTTTTTTTGGCAGCGAGAAGTCCAGTATTTTCACATCTAAGTGTATCTCTTTACGGACTGACAACAATTAGAGCATTTAAAGCCGAAAGTAAATTTAAATCTACATTTTATGAGTATCAGGATAAGCACACTGCAACGTGGTTCGCCTACGTTGCTTTAAATCGATGGATTTTCATATACGGCCACATGGTTTGTTTCATAAATGTAGTTATTACTGTTATTATATTCAGTGTTTCGATTGATTCAGGTGAGTAAATATATTTAATTTTCTCTAATCAATAATAGAAGTAATATTGTATTTATAACTACAGCTTTAGGTAATGCGGGAAGCCAAATCGCACTTGTTATGAGTTATGGAGTATTATTTAATTTGTATTTTCCTTCTCTTATTAGAATGTCATCTGATCTGCAATTTCAGGTATTATATCAACATTTAGATGTTATATAATATAATATATATATAGGCCTATATATATAAACGTAATATAACATTTGAATTACTTATCTGTGGTATCACAGATAAGTAATTCAAATTTGTTAAACTTGTTTACTAACTGATAACTACGTCTAGCCAGATTCGCGTTTATCGGTAAATATCAAATTTTTCTAACAAGGTAAATACTTGCAAGGGATTATCTTCTTATCCGAATACAGTCCACATTCTCTAACTATACTAACTAACCAATACATTTTATGAAAATAGTAAAAAAATAGAGGAATATTTCTGATTTTTTTAATATTTTAAATACTATTACACAATTAGAAAATAATAATTTCGTTTTATATTCAGTAGTGGACTTTGTATTACTTGAGCACACTCTTTACTCACAATCAACAAAATATCTTCATTTTTGACATTCACAGTGAATTTTCGATAAGAAATTGATAGAGGAAAAGGTGGTATTATGGAACACTGCGAGTATTATGGAACCACCCCATTTCGAACTGATAATAAAGGCGAACTGCAGCGGATTGTGGCTGAACTGAACTAGGCAGACATCCATAGCAAGGGAAAAACCCGGTTCAGTTAAACGGTTGTCCGTAGTGAATCAGCATGTTTGTCTTTTTCGAAATTTGGAAGTTCGTAATGCTAAGTGAGTGAATTTAATTATTTTTAAAATATAAATCGTGTAGTTGTAGGTTCACTGGTGCATGTATTCCGTTCCAGAGACTTAGAGGTACATATTAATCTGTGTGATGTTCGCGTTTTTTAAAATTTGGTCTTAACAGACATAAGTTAATTCAAGGTGGCGATGCGTGAAATATGGACTCTATTAGTGCTTTTAATGTGAAACCCAACTCCTCTGGGAACCCGACTCCTCCAAACTCTCTATTTGCAAGCAGACATTCGCCCGGAGCAATTTGTGAAAAAGACACGAAGTATAAAGCCAATTCTTCCTGAGAATATCGAAAAAGAGCTACTGGAATATATATTGTTGATGAAAGTCATATTTTTCTATTATAAAAACATTTTCTCGATAAAATACATTGGAGTAAATAATTTTGTAATTATTTAACATTCTTTGTACTTTCCTATTTGTTTTTTGGATACATTAAAACATTTTTTGAAAACATACAGTAAGGTTTCATATTACCTGGATAGTAATATGAAACCGTACTGTATGTTCTCAAAAAATGCTTTCAAAAATCTTCAAAAGCCTTCAAAAACCATATTTATAGTTACACTAGCGAAAAATCCAATTAGGAACGTTTAGTTAAATAGTTACCAGTACTTTTCGCACAAAAAATGTAGGTGTAGGTATGATAGCTTGTTTACAATTCACTATAATGTAATTGGGGTTCCATAATACCACCTTCTCCTTTACTAAATATTTCATAAAAAAAGCTTAATTATGTTACGAAATTAGTACAAATTACATTGACAACTACTTCAAAGTATTAAAGTTTAAAAATTTTTATAATGAATTAATTTCCATACAATTACAAGTAAAAAATATTTTCAAACTGAAACAAACTTGAGATTAACAAAATTAACAAATGAAAGATATATTAATCACTAAATACGGTGATATTTTTCAGTTTTCTTTCACCCATAATTTTGACTTCTTTGATGACAAATTTGTAATCACTCATTTTAATTAATTTCTTTTTTGTTATAATACTAGCTGTACCAGACCACGCGTTGCTGTGACTCAAAATGTATCTATTATAAATGTATAACACTCCCCGCGGGGGGGAGGAATTTCGAAAAATTCCTTCTTAGTGTACATTCTCTTGAAGTACCCTATTAAAACGCAATCGAAAACGCATATAAAATAGTATAATAAAAGCCGAGTCTTCAAGGTCAGCCTTAATCCTGTCTCTCACCCCGCGGGAAAGGGGAATTTCAGCATCTATATAACATAAAAACGCGCGTATTCAAATGCAACGTTGCGTCAAAATTTCAAAGCAATCGGTTAAGAACTTTCGGAGATTTAAGATTTTGAAAAAACGAACATTTACATTTTTATTTATATAGATCATTGAATATATTTGGGAAATATTTGGAAAATCATTATTATCTGAACGTATACAAATAATTTCAGTTTTATTGCTACATATATTTGATATTATTTCACCTCATATACTGGCTATTTATAATTCATAACTAATTCATTTAATTTTTTATAAGTGTAGACTGAAGTTTGCCAGCCAAGTGTAAAATTCTTTCATTATTTTACCTAAGCATCTACTTCTTATTTAATTTTCCAGGCAGTAGGCCTATATTTTTATTTTTGAATTATAAAGTGATTTTTTTTCTACATGAAATCTTCTGTTTTTTCAGTAATTACTTTCATTTTATCAGAAAGATTTAACGCACCACTTTTACTGTTTTCATTTGAAAATTACTAAAAATTAATTAATTTTTCAAACCCTTTGTTGCCTGTGTTTTGTCATCAAAAGAATAATTATCTTACAGATGCAAAGCTCCTATCTTGTCATGGCGCACCTCTTGGAAAGATGTGGATGAAATGACAATGTGATTGTCTTTTGTAAAGACAGAAATCATTTTTCGTATGAGAAATGAAGCGATTAACAACATTTATGTACTTCCAGGACATTATTCCAAAATTTTCTTCAAAACGCCTTTATTCCGTTTCCAGCAACTCAATTAGAAACAAAAATCTTTTATTTTGTCACAGGCTATTCTTATAGGCTTCGTTTCTGCTTTAACACAATCATTGATAATATTTATAGTTTCTGACATAAAAATTCGCATATATTCGTCATATCCTTAGATTTATATGTTGATTATAATTTACAAAATGTTATAACTTTATTACCAGATAACAGATTTATTTGTAAACCCTTTCTAGTTTTATGCTAGTTCATCTTAACTTTATCTTAACTGTTATATTCAGAGTTAAGTTGAAATTCTGAAGTTAAGATGAATTTGAAAGTACATTACAATTCTTTGTTTTTTTAAACTCCGTCTTTATCTTAATTTTTGCGTACTACTAAATAACCAATCTCTGCTACTATTTTATATTAGTAAAAGAACATTCTGACTCACAGTCAAAGAGAAAACAGAAATACAATGCTTCACTTGAAATGTATACACACTAAAGATGAGCGCGTAATTTACGTATTCATAACAATGCAAGAACACAAAGACAATGAAACTGGAAAAAATTTTTATTCTCTAACAGGTAACGATAATATATGCTCTATATATATTCTGTTTTACTGCTACAATTTTTCAAAATAGATAAAATTTTCAGGCTTTGCTTCATTAGTTTCTACAGCTAAAAAATTCATCTTATATGTTTGAAATTTATTTATATCCTTTTTGTCAATTTCAATAATTGCATAATTGGGTTTAAAAAGGTGTTGGAAATCTGCCCTCTTTAATTTATATTCATTCTTTGGTTCAAGAATAATATCATTATGTTTAAAAAATATAATTGGAGCTGTTATACGAAAGAAATATATTAAACGAGCAGTTGAACAATGAAACATAGAGGAAAATATTTCTTACGTTCTTCAGGAAAATATTTCTTACGTTCTTTGATATCTTTCAAAGATATCAAAGTTGAATTCTTCCAAACTAACAACATAGGATCTTTACTAAGAAGTTTTTTATAATTAGTTTTAAAATAGAAATATGAAATTTGAAAAATGTTGAGTTGTAAACATTAATAATATATGAGCTGAAGTGAAACGTGAAAAAATAATTTTTTATAACATTACATTACACTAAAACATAAGCTGTTTTATATAATAATGTCAAGAAGAATGTTAAAATTTAAGGTAATTCAAGGAAAAAACAGTAAAAACTTCCACTGTTGAAACTTTATAAATGAATTGATATTCATACATGTTATCAGTAAAATTGTAAATTACAAGTATTTAGTGGTTAAATACAATAAAATGACAACCAAATATAAATCATGCCATTATGCATTCTCACATAAAAACAACTCTATTTTTTAAACTGAATATAAAGTTATTTTCTGTACATTTGAACTTTGTACAAATGTACAAAGTTCAAATGTACAGAAGTACAAAATGTACAGAAGTACAAATGTACTTCTGTACATTTAATATAACTATGCATAATATATATTTTTACTTTAATACGTTTCATGCACTGTATTACTTTATACAAAGTCCCTTTTTCAGATGAACTCTGTTAAACGTATACTGAATTATACCAAATTGAAATCAGAAGCATCATACGAAAGTTCTGTCGATAAACAACCACCCACAGATTGGCCAAGAAAAGGAGAAATTCATTTTGATAATGTTTCTTTACAATATTCTAAGGATAAAAATACTGTTTTAAAGCACTTAACATTTCGTATTTACCCGGGAGAAAAGGTAAAATATCTACAAATTCTAAAGATTGTTGCTAATCATTTCTATCTGAAATAATGTGTATTATTTATGAATTGCAGATAGGTATTGTCGGCAGAACAGGAGCAGGAATTTAGGTAGGCCATCATTCCATTGGAGAGTTTACTGTTTTAAATTAATTCAGATTAGAGTTCTATAAGTAGCAGAAATATGTTTCTTATGATGCGGTTGTTTCTATATTGCTTTAAAATTAATTCTTCAAAAATTCTTCTTGAAAAATTTGAAAAACTTAACGGCTGATGCAGAATTATACAGTCGTTTTTTTAAATCCGTAACTTCTTTCAACAGTGGCAACTACTAAGGGTTGTATACGTTAGTTATTTATTACAGTATGCATTTCGGGTGTAAGATTTTTGATGTAACTTTCACCCCTCATCAGGTGTTACATTTCTACAATCGGTAAACATACAGTTATATAAACAATTATATAAACACAATTTATTACAGTAATTATTACAAGTTATATTATTTATATTTATATATTTTTTCATTATATTTAACTAACCTTTTTATTTGTAAATTATACAGCTCCGTGGTGTCCATGTTCTATCCCATAAGGCATTTCCTACTGTCCTGTCTGTTTACTTACTATTTGGCCCTAACCATTTCCTCCCACATGTCGTCAATCTCCATTCCATTGTTTAAGTTTATGATGTTGGTTGTACTAACAATTGCGAGGTGTTCTTTGAATCTACGTCGATATCTGTCTTTTTCTTTGTATGTAGAGTCCGAGTGCAAGTTACTCGCGCGTAATTGAAGAGCTGATCGCTGGCCATGATTGTTGCATCCGAACATGCCTTCTGAGGTTTCCTGATCAGAAGCGCATCAGCCACCCATCCAATTGGTCCTCCCATTAGAAGCAGAGGATGAAGATGGGGAGGATGTGAGAGATATGACGACTAGGGCACCTCTCAACAGGAAAAAAGTGAAAATAATGTGAGAGAGACCGGATTAGAGAATAGGCTCATTGTCTCGCCTAATTCGATCCAAAACCGAAATAGTGTCTAAATTTACGTGTGTTATTGCTCATAGTCACAACAGATCAGAAAATCGGAAGGCACGATTTGAACTTTACTCCTAGGTTGTTTAGGATTTAATAAATATAATTATCATTTAGTGTTAAATTTTGAAAAGAACTGCATGAGGAAGTTTCAACCAATTAGAAGGTCCAGAGTAAAGTGATAATTACTCGAACAAATACAAATATGAAGAGTGAGGTGCTTCCCAAGTACAAAAAGACTTTAATTCGAAAATTATTTATAATGACGGGGCATTATGAATAACACTATTGAGAAACAAGAGAATAACACTAAGAGAAACAAAATCGGGAATTGTAATAAATTTCAGGAATTTTAACATAATTTATCAATTTGACCGGTCAATATGAATACTGCTATCACTTAGTTTGGCAAAATGTTAGCAATATGTTGAGGAGTGTTCATCCAACATACGCTAGCCAACCAGCACTCACATCTGAGTTGCGCGTGCATATTGCGTTTAGTACCAAATTTTAATTTTTGCGACCAGTAGTTAATCTTGTCCGACATTTTACTGGAGGCCAAGGTTATATAGTCTATGCTGCTGCAAAATTGGTTGCAAATCTAGTAGATGCAAATGCTGCAAAGAAAAAATTATGTACAGTGGAAGATAGTTAACGAACAAATCGAATAATGAACACTTTCGCAAAAAAATTTTTATATTCGGATAACGAACACCACACAGAACAAACAAGAAGAAACGACGTAAAAAAATGAATACCGAATGGTCGTCCCTTGTCTCCCGGCAACAATTCGAAACTGTTCGGAGCGCGGGAGACGTCGACATCGACGCTCAACCCGGTATATACTGATCGGATAGTATTTCTCTGAACTTTGAAACTCTCCCTTGTAATTCCAGCCTTTTATTTTTCTGACAGAAACAATTCTTTTATAGTATTCGTGAGACTGTCGGGCGGACACTCGTTAAGTTTTGTGTCGGTTTATATTTTCGAAAGACGAGAGTATAATAGCAAAGGTAGAGAGTGGGCAGTTGTCTGATTTACTGGGCAGTATGTATTGAATAGGTCTACAGTAGGCCGCAGTTCAATCTTATCTAACTTGCAAGAAAGATACAGTATATGAAGGAGACTCAAGCAGCTACAGGTGTAACAAAAATCACATCTGAGAAATAAAGAGCATTGAAGAGCTCATAATGGAACCTGAAACTGATCTGACGACAGAATAACGCCAAGAACTCTTGAATGAAGAACACCAAGAAACTCAGCGAGATATGTTTTTTTTTTTTTTTTTTCTGAAAAAGAAGATTAATGTCGATATCTGCTATTATAGATCTTTTGAAGAAGTGGGAGGATGTCAAAACAACGGTCTTAGAATGGCATCCAAACGAAGTTGAGGTTAATAAGCTTAGAAATCGTTACAATTACAATGCTATTAATTACTTCTGAAAAATCCTGACGAAGAGAGAAAAGCAATCGACATTAGATTCTTTAACCCCCACAAACGGAAAGAATATGACTAATAAAAATGCAAGGCTGTGTATATATGTATTTTTATTATTACATATAAACGTAGTAAGAAAGTATATATTTTTATATATGCATATAGGCCTATATATATATTTTTTCGTGTTTCCAGAACGAATTAATCAAATTCCCATAAAAACCTATGGTAAATCGATAATCGGTTAACGACCAATTAGGATAGCGAACAAAGTCTTGGAACGGATTATGTTCGTTAACCGATCACCCACTGTAATTCCAAATGTTATCAAAATCTTAATTGCTCGAAGAAATAAACTAAAAATTATTTAATTTTTTATATAATTTACACGAAAGATAAAATTCCAAAAGTTTCCAGTAAGATGATTTTTCGTTAACATTAGTTTAATTAGTAAAATTTTATCTATACGCACTGTCATGGCGGCGGTTGCAACTGTTCGTGCTTCCAACGGACTCCTCCCAGATGGGAACTGCCAGTACGCCGCCAGTACGCTGCCGATTGTTTAACGTCACTAGTTATCTAGTATGTATCAATAACTAGTGACGTTAAACAATCGGCGGCCTACTAGCAGCTCCCCTCTGGGAGGAGTCCGTTGGAAGCACGAACTGTTGCGACTGCCGCCATGATGATGGTGCACATAGGTAAAATTTTACCGTTTAATTAATATAGTTAATAAAACTTAGTTTTAAAAGATTACATGTTCTTTTTAAAGTACTTTGAAATAATTCACAAAAAATAAATATTTCTAAATGAAATAATTGGAGTTTTTTTTAATCAAATTAAAATGTCCCACAAGACTAACTATTGGTCGCATAAATTTAAAATTCGGTACTAAACACAATATGCACGCACAACTCAGATGCAAGTGCTGATTGGCTAGCATATGTTGGATGATAACAACGTATTATTATCACTTTGCCCAAATAGGTAATAGCAGTATTCATAATGACCAGTCAATTTGATAAATTAATCAATACTTATCAGACTGCGCCCCCATTTTATTCATTATTCATAATGACCGGGCATTAAGAATAATTCCCTATTAAACTCTTGGTCCATAACATACAGTATATCAATTACAGTGAAAACGCCGTTTGTTTATTACTCTATATAAATAATAGCCGATAATTCGAAATTCTCAAATTAATAATCTGACATGCAAATATTTAGTGAATTTAATGTTTGAATTTGTAGATCGGTAAACACAATAAAATTAGGAGCAATTAAAGAACGTGCATAATAAATCGAAATTATGCAACAGGGTGCGCTGATACAAAATAAACAGCATTTTCTGCAAGGTTCGCATTTCACATAACGCGTTGAATGCTGCAAAAATACAAAAACTTTCGATAATCTTCCTATTTGCATAATTTGGCACTGCTCTGCTCGGAAAGTTGCTAACTGCATTACAAAATGAATAGCAAATTTAAAACGAAAATCATATAAAAATCCACTAATTTACTAGCAATGAATTACTAGCAATTACTAGCAAGGAATCATTAGAAATTCAAACTGACCCAAAATATTTTTGTGTGTGTACTATCTATTAACAGGTGAAAATAACGATATTTTGTTTTGACTTTAGAGTAAGATCTTGTGTTTTTGCTCATCAAAACCTTCATCAGTATAATAAGTCCTACTAATAAACAAGGACCAAGTAGATGGTGTATACACAAAAATGTTAAACAATATTTTTTTAATTTTATATAAATACGACTTGTACAACAGAAGCGATTAATACACCAGACGTGTACTCTTTTTCAGGATCCAATGTTATTTACCGGTCCTCTTCGAAGAAACATCGATCCTTTCAATGAATATTCGGAAGAAAATCTGTGGCAAGCCATTGAAGAGGTTAGAACTAATTAGTTTAATTTGCTAGATGTTTCATCCGTTTAACTCTTTCTAATAATTAAAATTAATTATCGTGTATATGTTTAAAAACTTCTCAATTAAAGGTGCAATTAAAAGAAGTAATTAGTAAATTACCTGGCGGATTGGATACACATTTATCAGAAGGAGGACGAAATTTCAGCGTTGGGGAAAGACAGTTAATTTGCCTTGCCAGGACTATTCTTCGTCAGAATAAAATTCTTGTCATGGACGAAGCAACATCGAATATTGATAAGAGGTTAGAATACACAAAAATTGATCTAATTTGGAATATAAATTATTTTATTTTATGATTTGTGATACGCAGAAAATTATATCTTATGTCAAAATTGTTAGATATATGTGCTAATCACTCTGTGTTTCAGTTTGTAACTTATTGATTGGATATTATTCAATTAACTGTTAGTTTGTTTACTCGCAATAGTTTCCAAATCATGAACACTTTGTTCGAGTTAAGCATTAACATTTTTCAACTATATAATAATACTGTATTTTCTATGGAAATTGGCAATAAATTAAGCTAAGACAGATAAATATGATGCACATAAGACAGTGATGGCGATTAGATTGATATTATGCCCATAATAAAAGGACTGATCTGAGTAGTTGAAATTTCAATCTATTACACAAAGAATCACAAATCGAAACTGAACGACCACCAGAAATATTTTATGCCAGTATATTACAAAGTATATTACACTCAGATTTTCACCATTTCGTCGTCCTTATTATGAATCTGCTCGAACCCACGAAGAGCATATAAAAGGTACTCTTGATGTCTTTGGTTAAAAAGCACCAATCTTAAAAAGTTGTTTTCAAATTTATAATCGATTTTATGTGTGATATTGAACATATATGTAAATAAGCAATCTTTTTATGTTACATTAGTGGTTTGCTGTGTAAAATAACTTAATTAATGTATATACAATGGTATACAAGGAAACTCTGATGTTTGTTGTTTATTTTATATAGGCCATATTTTAAAATCTATACTAATATTATAAAGAGATAATGTTTGTATGTATGTTAGTTTGTATGCAGCAGGTAATCTCCGAAACTACTCATCGGATTTCAAAAATTCTTTCACCAATATTTAGAATGGTACTTCAGGGTGGACATAGGCTATATATTATTCCGTTAAACATGGGGAATGGACAGTTCTTTACGGTAAGCCTTACGGAAAAGATTACCGTAAAGAACTCTACTTCTATTTATACCATTTTAGATGCAGTTTTTTCCGTTTTTGATTGCGTTTTAATAGAGTACGTCAACAGAATGTACACTAAGAAGGGATTTTTCGATATTCCCCCCGCGGGGGAGAGAGACAGGATTAAGGCTTACTCTGAAAAACTTGGCTTCTATTATACTATTTTAGATGCGGGTTTTTGCGTTTTTGATTGCATTTTAATAGGATACGTCAACAGAATGTACACTAAGAAGGAATTTTTCGAAAAATTTTCCCCCACTGGGGAAGTGTTATATATTTATAATAGATACATTTTGAGCCACAACAAGGCGTGGCGGGGTCTGCTAGTTTTACATAAAGTAGAGCTCAAAATTTATATCCATGTTAAGTCAATGACAAGATTTATGCTTCGTTAAGCTCACCTTTTTAGTAAGTTGTGCCTCAATGAACTATCGTTAAACTATCGTTCGGAGATTTTCAGAAACTTTACTGCAGAATCTCCATGCACGTTGATCATCGTGCAGGAATAAAAAATGATTGGTCTACCAGGTGTTGAGACGATTCTTTATTTTTCTTTTCTGTATTGATCTGACGGCAGATGGAATACGTAGATTTAACTATGTCCGTATAACATAATGTCAGTATGTGTTTATGCCAATGCAGAACAATGACGACTGACAACAGGTACATGAATACAGGCAAGTGTCAGTATTCATGTACAGTTCTAAACCAGAACTCTGTCACAATCGTGTATAATCTTTTTCAGAGGGCTTGAGAGAATGAGAACAGTTATATATGACTTCATTTTCTCTGTTCAACGTGTGATACTCTTTTGCTAGTTTTGTGCACCGCAACCACAACCTTCTCTATGCTCCCATCAGTAACCAAATGATTAAAACCAATAAACAGTAGTAGTTAGTTGAGAGTTTGTTTTTTACTAATTTTTAATTTTTACTTTGTATTCTTTACATATTTAACATCCAATTACAAACCAGTTTTCCATCGAAAGTCCTTTCAAGAAGCAATTTTTCGGCTAATCACAAATGTATTGCATTCCATTAGTTCAATTCAATCCAACCGATTTTATACTCCGTGTAAAAATTAAAAATAAATTTCTTACAGCAATTATGCATTATGCATATGATACGTGTTTTTGATTTGCATAAGTTCTTGGTAGTGATATTTTTAAGTAATTTTTTTCATCTGATTTGTGTATTTTGTATTTTACCCATATATTAATATTTAGAATCATAACACATTATTTATTTATTTAATATCTAGCACTGATTCCTGCATACAAAAAATAATTCGAGAGAAATTCAAATCTTGTACAGTGTTGACAATAGCCCATAGATTACATACAATTATTGATTCCGATAAAGTTCTGGTAAGATTTTATTGCTTATAATGTAAAGATAATATATATTTTAATTACATATTTTAACTTTTTAGGTTCTAGATACAGGGAAATTACAAGAATTTGACACACCATATGCACTACTGACAAATGTTAATGGAACTTTTTACAATTTGGTGAAGAACACAGGAATAACTTCCATGAACGAGCTATACAAAGTTGCTAAAAATAAATATTATTTTAAAGAATTCACCGAAAGTACAAAACTATAAAACAGTGAATCTTCTTTGAAGATCAACCGTTTTATAATTTTCACGTGCAAGGGCGTAGCCAGGATTTTCTCCAGAGGGACAAAAATAAGATAACGTTGTTTATTAAAAAATAATTTTATTTGAACATTTCAAAACGCTAAAAGTAATTAGTTGTAATGCTGTTCGAACCTATCAAATTTTATTTCAGCACTAGCCTACGGGATTTGTGGCTAAATCTTGTCAACATTTTTTTTTCTCAAATTTATTTTTAGTTTTCAGAGCCCTCTTCTCATGCACACTCATCACACAAAGACCGACAAGCAGCCGATTTTCTGTCATTGTTGACCGTATCCAAGTTTTTATCTTGTGTAAGGTGCTGAAGGATCTTTCAACAGTGCACGCTGTGCAGGGCTGTGAAAGTGAAATAAGTAGTGCCCGTTTAATGAATGCGTAGAACAATTGCGTTTCTTTAACTAGTGCGTCTAGTTCTATCTCCTTCAGTTCGGCATTTAGCACATTTTTTTTTAATTTTAAATTTTGTATCAACGTCCAGCTTCACCCAGGAAATCATTCAAATTGCAGTAAACACAAAAATTGTTGTTTTTTTTAAATTCTCATATGTCATATGAAGCATTACATGAGGGTGCAACGTAAGCAATGAGAATGTTTTTTTTCGTCAAAAAATCTAACCCCTATGAAAAGTTGCTCTTTCCCTGATATGTCACTGCTCTTGTCTGCCAGGATACTATAAGCACATACTTTCTTTATGTCAGTAGTGATGTTGTCTCTAATGACGTTGTCACATAGGCCGGTTATTTTATTTTGAATCTATGGTGACATGTAAGTGGAATTTTTGCGCCCTTTTCTATGTGCTCTTTTAAAATGTGGTCACCAGTGTCAATTTCGAGTTTGATCAAGTTTTCAAAAATATTTTTATGATGTTTTTTGCCCCTCAAAAGTAGATCACGTGTACCACAAAACCTCACAGTCGAAATTATTGATGCAACAATTATCTTTTTGGTTTCTATTTCTTTGTTAATGTTTTGTTGAAAATTTTTGTCAACAAAACATTTTGCTGCTGTGGCCGTTGATTTGTGCCACTGAGATGACGCGTGAGATTTCACGACATGTATTTATAGCAAGTTAAAGGACTTCACTATGAAAGAACCCATATCACCATTCATATTAGTTAGTGGAAATAACACACAGTAAATGCAATGCACTACGCGCTCTTTAATTTCTTGCAATATGCCCGCCAAGGAGTATAATCCACCAACCAGCTGTATTTGAATTTGCTTTTTTAAATTTCACAGCATCCTTAGTGAAATCATAACTTGGAGTTGGTGACCAACAGTTTTTTAAAACTTTCATTTTTGAGATGAGATCATATTAAACGAACGTCCAAGCCAGTGATCCACATCATCATCAAAATACGTTTAATCCTGTGCACCAGAACTAGATGGTATCGAAGATCCACTTGATCTTCGATACCATCTCGGGTTGGAGACGCTACTACGAATGTAACAGTTAACAATACCTACTTATTTATATAGCAAAGAGACAGGTTAAGACGCTTAGCTAGCGCTAATTCTAAATACAATTATAGGAAATTATCCTTCTTCATTAATATAGCTTGTCCGAGAGAGAAAGACTTTACAATTGATTGCGCGTTGGTGGAATCTTAGTAATAGAAGTTGGTCATTTGTTGGAGTCTCAGAATCGGCGATCTGCGGTTCGCCAGGTGATTCGGAAGTCTTGAATTTCTTGAGAAGTGTAGAGAATCAGTGAAGACTCGAACAGTATCCACACAGATCGGGCACGAACACCAGTCTAAAGCGAACTCTCTATGATGGCGAACTGCCTACTTTTTGTATTCAGGGGTCTTTCGTAGGTTTTTCCCATGACCTCTTTAAGAATCATCATACAACAGTCCAATTGTTGAATTTCACTCGTCGGTTCCGGATGATACATTCAATGTGTCACCTGAAACAAGGAAACACGCCCGTGGAAAAAGTTTAATCATTCTCTCTGATTTTCTCTTTCGAAAATTTTTGGTTAAAATTTTTCGAAAGAGAAAATCGTCAAATCAGGGCTCTCACAGAAATAAATACAGCACTTATTAATTTTAAACGACGTATAAGATATCCAGTATTGCACGTGGACGCAACGACATTTCAATTAAAATAAACTTCACTCATGGTATGTTCTGAACAAGCTTAAATGCATCAACTCACTCAACTGACTCACTTGCACTGATTGCAGCGCTTAAATAGGGGACAGAAGGCACTAGAACTTACCCGCTGAATCCGAACCTCGAACATTCTATAGTCTTCGAGTCATACCATAGAGCATCCAGACATTTAACCGCCAGTTCCCACTCTTTAACTAGAGAGCGCTCCCATCACCGACCAACATGATAGCGTCTTCTCGCCATGATTCAAACATGCTTTCTTGCCACGCAATACTATTACAACCTATTGACCTATAATTTTTCGTTTGACTAAATATGCCAGGCAGGGGCAAGCGCCCCACCCTTTCCCACCGTGGCTACGCTCATGTTCACGTATACTTTTTGTTGAATTTCTGCTGTTTTTTATTTAATATCCTGTACTCAGAAATAAGTGACATTTCCATCTGTGACCTAGTACATAGAAGTTTTTAAATCTATACATTTAATAAAATGTTCTACTGCAAAATTTATATACTGTACATGAAATATTACTCAAATTTAATTAATAAATTTAATTTTTCTAACAAATAGATTTTAAAAACATTCTATTGTTAGATTATTTATTTACTGAAAAAAACAGTATCAAAGAATTTAAGAATAGAAAATTGCTTTATTGTAATAAATTGCAATATTTTAATAAAAAGTTGTTGAGGAATTTCATGATAAAAATATAAATGAAAAATATATTTTTAGTAGTAAATATGTATTCCAGTAGAAATAAATTTTATGATAATCACGATAAATAAAGTATTGTATATATTTGAAATTGTGTTGTCATTATTTCTGTAACTAGAATTCTATTACCATCATTTCGGGAACAGATAATTAGTCGAGGCTTTGTAAATTCTATCAAGTCTTGCATTCGAATGTAAGTTACAGTGGCGTGCCGTCATTAGAAGCGGTGGAAGCGCCGCTTCCCTTGTATTTTATAAAAAAATAAATACATATTAATTTTAATTATATGAAAATAATCGCACAATATTTTATTATAACCGCATTATGTAACTTATTACAAATTTCTATATTCTACACGTGAAAAAAATAAGATTGCTATTGTATATTCGAATATTAGTGGCGGAGTGGAATCTCTGTATTGTCAGATTCCAAAAAGCCAGATTCGCGCACGCGCTTTACAGAGCACCAACCTCACCCGGTTTAGCTGGTGGAAAGCCTACGACCTTGAGTTGTTGCTACAAATATAACGCTTCCAATTCTATCCGGGACCGTTTCCGGGCTGTTAGCCGCCCGCCCGCTAGATATTTGGCCGATTACGTGAATAACGAGTAGATTTATAACTTAACCCAACCAATAAGAATTACTGATATGTTTTTACGATAGTTCTGTATAGTTGATAGGAGTTAAAAAAATCCATTAAAATATTTTGTTTTTACTTCGATTTTATATTACTCACGATTTTATATTACTCACGATTTTATATTACTCACGGATTTCAATGTTAAACCGGTGATATTACGATTTCGTATATCCCATCTCTAAGGGGATGTAGAAAAAAACATGTACAATTCTTGTAATGTTAAAAAATTAACTGTTACTTCGACAACGTCATTTACAACTAAATTTAATAAATGAGAGAGATGCACCAGGCACAAGAAAAGCTCTAGAATTTATTTTCCTTAAATTTACTATTTATGTATCTGTTTGTCATAAAAATTTGTCTTTCCACTTTTTTCCCGAGACTACAAATATTCGAGTACAAAGCAACTGGTTTCGACTTATTTCTACTTAAGAAGTAGTTAAATAATTAAGCGATTAGGGAATTGGGGACATAAACAAAATCCTGACGAAAGAGCCGGAATTTTACTTAAACAAAAGCTTAACCGAACCAATCTCTAGCCCAGTACAGTGCGGACCGATTTCTTCGAAATACTGTATTAGATGTAATAAAGACAGACTTTTTTCCAGTTCAACGAGAGTGACCGAAAAGTTGTAAATTTTGGAAATTTCCACGGACAACACCTGGTCCTAAAACGAATTAGTTAGAAAACAAAAAACGGACAATCTATTAAGTTTAACGTATTTAGATTTTTACCGCTATGATGAGAAACGTTTAAAATTTACGACAACCCTGTCGCTTCCTTTGAGATATACTAGTGATGAGAGAAAAGAGACATTAACCGGTATCGGCACCCTCGGGATTTGGCATGCATGCACGCACCGCACACCTACCAAGATCGTCTCTGATTCCATCCACGAGTCACTGATAGGGAGCACTTTTAACTAAGTGGATTGTTTTAATATTTAAAAAGTAAAGAATATCTTACGCTATTTTTATGTACGTTTCTTCACAAAACTATATTCATACAACCGAATATTTTGTACCAGGTATGTATAATTGTATATCGTATAATTGTATGTATAATTGTATATTTATTTTTAATTTTAGCCCTTATATTATAGCTAGCAATTTAGAATGTAATTGTGATATTGAAAATTTATTTCAAAAAGTTTTGGCTCGAGATCTTATAATGAAAAAGAAAACATTATTAAAACAGAAAGACCAATGCCTAAATTAAATATAAATACGTCAACAAAAAATTTGTTCGACATTTTCACGATAAAATTTATGAAGATATAAAATAGCTCTGTGGATGCATAAAAATGCAAAAATTGTTTTGTTGGCCTTGCCTACTATTTTCAAATAAAATTAGTATGTGGAATGAGATTGGCTCTGATGATTTAAATAATTTTAGTAAAGCTGGCAAAAGACACGAAAATCCTAAATCTCGCATCGAAACTTTCGTAAAATTGAAGCAATTTGGAAATCAAAATAGAATAGGATTTAACATTAGTACACAATATAAAATATATATTGAAAATTATAACAAGATAGTTACCGCTAATAAATAAATTTTAATTAGTAGATGTTATCGAAGCGAGAATTGGCATTTAGACGGCGTATAGAATCTATTAAATCTAATATAACAGAGTTAATTATATTGAACTTGCTTATTTATTAAGCGCGTTAGATAATCTATTAATTAAAAATACATTTAGAGAAGTCTACGGTTTTTACTGGCTTATCGAACAAACGAATACGAATGGACCCTAGACCATACTGACTGATAGCCCCTGGAAGTCGGCTTATTACAAAAACA